GTGGCAGGCTCCTGTAATCCCAGCTACTTGGGAGGCTGAGGCAGGAACTGCTTGAGCCCAGGAGTGAGCCACTGTGCCCAGCTGGCGTGAAATCTTAATCCATGCCTTTTCTACCTGGGCCAAGGTGGACCGCTGACCACCTTCAGCCTGGACGAAGCCTGGCCCTCCTCAGGTCGCCAGGCTTTGCCGGTGCTCCTGGCCTGTGTGGGGCCTGCTGAGGACAGCAGGAGTGCATTGTGTCGGGGACTGAGCAGGACTTGCGGCCTGGGCCTTTGAGCCTGGTGACACCTGTGTGGTCCGACGCCAGTTCCTTCCACGTAGTGCCCCTGTGTTTGCAGCTGGTCTCTCCGTGGTAGCCGCTTCTCCATGGAAGTTCTGCCCTTTGAAGACTCCAACCCCCTCCCTTGCAGCTGCGGCTGTCCCACCAGTGGGCCTATCCTTAGTGGGGTGCTGAATGTACCCTGAAGGATGTCACCCAGCGAAAAGGGTCGGGGCACACGGAAGGTCCAGAGGAAGGGGGTGTGGAGTGGCCTGGAGCTGCGGCCCCTCCCCGCTGCGGCCAGGCCCGCCAGGAGGAAGCCCTGTCGCTTGCAGGCTCTAAGGCTAATGAGGCCAAACCAAGTCCTAATGCCGAGAGGCTGGGTGGGGAGGAGGGGCGGTGGTGTGCACAGGCATCTGAGGTCCCAGGCTGCACGTGAGGGCGTCGTGCAAAGGCATCAAGGTCCCTGGCTGCTGCGGCACGGAGAGGCCCCCCCACCCCAAAGGGCTCCTCAGGTGCTGGAGCTCGCTCCCTGCATAGCCAGCTGCAGCCCGGGGACGGATGGAGGAGAAGCTGCAGGCCTGGGGAACTCAGGCGGTGAGGCCCAGAAGGACATGGCCAAGTCCATTTGGGGGGAACTGGGAGGACAGTATGGGGAGTGGGGGCGACAGTGGGGAGTGGGGGGGACAGCAGGGAGAGTGGGGGGAGGGCAGTGCAGGGAGGACAGTGGAAGAGGGAGGCATGGGTGACAGTTGGGAGAGGACAGTGGGGAGGGAGACGGGAGAGCAGTCCAGCCTGCCCTGGCAGGGGCCTGGGGAGAGAAGGCCCCGCCTTTTTGTGCCCAGGGTCTGGGCCTGCCTGGGGCTGGCTGGTTAAGAGTCTGCACACCCCCAGTTCTGGAGCTCCTCAATGTCGTTCTTGCAAGGTGAGCCCATACTCCGCTGGCGCAATGCAGGGAGCTCAGGGGTACTCCCTGGGAAAAGTGTTCTGTGCCCTGGGGTTCAAGGCAGAACCCCTCTCCCAAGCTCAGGCTGCACCTCTGGTCACTGAAGACAAGAAGATGCAGAAAGGAGACCTCTGGGTTCTTGGTCCCCCTTCCCCACCACACCCCTGCAGCATGGGCAAGGCTTGGTGGCCTTCTTGGAGGCGCCTGGGCCTGGACAGCTATTCCAAAGCCACAACCACCCTCCCCACGTGGGTCCCTCAGTCTTCAGAGCATCCAAGCTGCAGAGCCCAGTAGACAGAACCCAGTTCCAGCGCCTCACTTTACAGAGGGGAAACTGAGGCACAGGCACAGCGCTACCTGGCTCGGGGTCCAGCAGGCAGCCATCTCCCTTGTCTCCCGCCCTAGGGATGGACCACCCCATCTGCCAGCCTTGATTGGAGCCTGGCTGGTGGGTGTTTACTGCACACCTACTATGTGCAGGGTGGTGTGGGGAGTGAGAGTTTCCCCCTCCTGTTCCACAGACCAGCAAGGTTCCCCTGAGCCCAGGGGTAGCGGGACCTTTGTCTGGAGGTGGGTGCAGGGAGGACAGGGTCTCTGAGGGGAGACGGTGGGCTGTGGACTTGTGAGTGGGCGCTTCTCTGTGGCGGCCCTCCTGTGCCCAGTACGATGCTAACAGCATTGCGGCTTCCACCTGAGGGAGCCCAGGAATAGCCCCCAGCTCTGACAGCCCCAAATGCTTCCAGACCTGGCCCCATGTCCCCTGGGAGTCAGAACAGCCAGGTGTAGGGCAGGGGCCCCCGAGCAGGAGTGGCCCCTGTTCCTGCCCAGACCGCAGACAGCTGAGCTGGCCATGCCCAAGACTCCCTGCACCCACCGAAGCCACAGGACACAGGCACGGTTTGCCCCTTACCCTCTCTCTTAAGTTGGGTTTCTGGAGGTGGCTGCCAGGACACTGGCATCCAGCCTGTCCGCAGTGTAGGAGAAAGGGGAAGCTGACGTCTTGGGCTGAGAGGGGCAGCGTTACAGGGTGGTCTTATAGACACGACATGCAGGCTTCGGAGGGGCTGTGGGGACCAGCAGGGTGGTAAGACATGGGCACCCACCCACAGAGGGCATGGCCTTGGACGTACAGTGGCGACAGCAGCCTCCAAAGTGTCTCCCGAACCCCGGGCATGAGGGGCAGAAGCTTCTGGGGCCCCTGGGGCAGCTGCAGCCTTCCTGCCTGTCCCCTGGTGAAGGAAAACCACCTCCAATGGGAAAAGCTGGAGCCAGACTCTGTCTCCCTTCGGGGCTGTCCCCGGCCTGCCTGTGAAGTCACCAGGCCCAGGGCATCTCCTGAGCCACCTGAGTGGTGATGCATGACCCTCAGTCCTGGGGCTTAGGACCCCTGGGTGTCCCTGCAAGTCCATCCTGGAGTCACTTCTCAGTCACTGCAAATGGGACCACACCCCACTTTCCAACGCCCCAACTTTCCACACCCAAGCAGCTCGTTGTCCCTGCCAATCAATGCCCGCTGACAACAATTATTCTTTTACAAACACCACACATCTTCTAATGCTTGCATGTTAAAAGTGCGAGTGGAGCCCTGGTCACCTTCACTTAAAGGTCCGGGTGAGGACTTTTTTTGTAGAAAAACAATTGCTTGTAACAAGTACTGGAACTGCACTGTGACCATGAGTCCTCACTCCTCGTTTTGTTCTAAGTCTGAGAAGTGCAGCCCTCACACGCTGTCAGTTCCAAGTGATGGGAGCTGTAACAGCCCCGACTGATCCCGGGAATATCAGGTGACTCTGGGAAGGGAGGAGGAGGGGCATTGGCCCACAGCCCCGGAGCTGACACTGCATCCTGAGGGTCAGGCCAGGCGTCCATCCCATCTCCCTGGGGCGAGTGCACCCCAGGCCACCTGGCAGCATCCTTTCCAGCCCTCCTGGAGACAGTCAGCCACTGATTCATTCCAGGGACCAGCATGGAAGGCGCTGGGTCGGATCAGGGCCCAGGGTGGCACCCCTCAGCACTGGCCCACCCCGTCTCCGGTCCCCCTCGGGACTGTTGGTCTCTGAGGAGCCTGGTGCTGGGGTCAGAGGTCTTCATCAGGACCCTGAGACCCTCCGGGTTGAGCAAGGTAGGGCTGCTGAGGGTGGTGGAGGTGGGGGGAGCCACCCAGTGCTTTGGGGATCACAGCTGCAGTGGGAAGGGGGATCACGACCACCAGGTGACGCCCCCTCCATGCACCTAACTGCTGCTCAGGACTCTGGGGACCACGTTGCCAGGGCCGTGCCTGCTGGACATGGGCGCTTCCAGCCCTGCTGGGCTGTGTCCTTCTCGCTGCAGGCCCCAGGCAGAGCCCCGGCAGCCCCTGCTACTGGCCTAACACGGCCCTGGCACAGCCTTTCTTCTGGCAAACTCCACCTGTGCCTCTTCTGAAGGTGGCTCAGCTTTTCACCAGAACAGCCAAGGGCCAGTGTTCCTCCCAAGGAGTGTGGCAGAGGCCAGCGATGCCCTCCAGGGCTCCTTGGTGTGGACGGCTGCCGATGCTGGTGGACATGCACCGGCGTGGGTCCTGTGGCCTCCGGGCGGAAGGCAGGTCGGGAACGTACAGGGCAGAAGAGGTCCTACACCTGGGCCTCCTGCTAACACCCTCAAGAGACCCCAGCAGAACAGAGGCTTTCCTGGAAGAGGGGATGCCCAGTCCTCCTTTTCAACCAAATACCTTTCCTTCAGTCTCACAGTCCCGCATTTCATGGGAAGGCATGTGTCCCCAGTGGGTCTGGGTGCTGGGAAGAGCCTGGTGCCGAATCCTGCCTGCTCCGAGTGGAGGGGAGCCCATCACCAGGCCCTTCTTGTGAGTGACTGCCAGTGACAATGGTGAGCGCACTCACTTGGGGACATTTGCTTTTGGTGTGGATGACATTTCTGGGCGGTGAGCTTGGGCAAACATGGCCTTGGAAGGGAAGCGAAGAGAGAGGAACGTGAAACACCCCTTTCCCTTCTGCAGGCACATGTTGGTTTTCTCAGGACTCAACTTGGTGGAAACAAACGGTTTAGAGCTTTGGAGACAGCCACCTGCACAGGGCACCTCGTCTGGCTCTGGTGGGAACAGGCTGGCCATGTTTTTAGCAAGCTGTGTTCCAGCGTGATCTGGAACGGGCTGACCTGACCTTGGAAGTGTGTCTTCTGCAGTCGGGTCCGCAGGTGACCCACGGTGGCTTCGCACTCCATGAGCCCACCATCCCGGGGAAGCCGCTTCTCGTGGGTGAAAAACGGGGCTCAGAGGGGGTTCCGAACCATGGTGGGGAGCCCAGCTGTCCTGCCTGCGAAGCCCAGTGTCCCTTGCAGCCAGAGGCACCTGCCAGCTGCGTGACCATGTGTGGACATTTTCCCCAAATTGGGACAGGAATCTGAATCTGTGTTGCTCTCGGGACTGTGGGGGACACACCTCTCCCCGGGGACAGAGAGCTGCCTGAGCTGCAGGAGCGGCTGGTGCAGAGAGAAGCTGGCAGTGCCTGCACCCGCTCTGGACACCCCGTGGGGGCTGGGCGCCAGGGAGGACAGGGCTCCAGCACGTGTGTCTCTGCTCCTGTGCATGCCAGGAAAATCCCACTGCAGTGCGGGAAAGCGCACACTAGGATGCCAGCCCATGCCAAGGGAAGGCTGCAGGAAATGCTGTGCACGCCACCGGGGCTTCCCTTTGTCTCCGGGGCAACAGTGGTTCAAGGCAAAGGACTTCTGCCTTTTGAAAAGTTTTTGAAAATCTGAAAGATAGTCATCAGCCAAACCTCCCTTGGGCCCCCCAGAACCTGCTGCTTCCCACAGCAAACTCACCAGTGAGCTCTGGCTCCGGCCTCGCAGCCCAGACACCTGGGGGACAAACCGAAAGGGTCAGGGCAGCAGCGGTGGGGGTGTCCCTAAAGCTCCTGGTGCTCCTGAGCTCTCGGCAGCCCCCAAAACACCCAGCTCGGAAGACTCCCAGAGGCCCCAGCTCTAGGCAGGGAAAGGACTGACAGCTGACGGGCTCCCAGGCCACATGGCTTTTGAGGAAGATCCTCTGTAAGGGGAAGTGCCTGGGAAGCACTTCAGATGCTGTGACCTGGCTCTGGGGCCCTTCCACAGCCTAGCCAGCCCCATGGAAGATGTTTCCGGGAGAGCCAGGGGCAGCCCACAGGAGCTGCCTCTACTCCGTGGCCACCATGCCTGCATTCCAGTGATCGCCACCCTTGAGGGGGTCTGGACGAGCCCCCCACCCGGCCATCACCACGGCCAGTGTCCAGGACTTCCTGCTCCACGGCATTCTGCTGCTGTGTCTTACGTGGCTGAAACACAGACCTCCGGACTCTGTCTCGGAGCGGGCCGGAGTCACGGACCCACAGCATGGGGGTGCTCCAGGCAGCCTCAGAGGCTCCCCTGGAAATGGACACCACCCCGGCCTTGACACGCAGAAGCCACCCTTCCCTCCCGCCCTGCGGGGCCGGCTTCGCAGCGCCTTTCTGGCTTGGCTGTGTCAGGAATGTCAGAGATGCAGGGTTTGAAATCCACTTCGTGGGAGAGTTTGGGTTGCTCAGGCTCATGCATGTTAATGCTGCCACAGCGAAGTTTCAAGCGAAATCAGTATCAGTGAGGGACGTGAAAGCAGGCAAATGTTCGCACCAACAGAACAAACATTAACGTCCCCAACACGGGTCCATCTCTACCTGCATAGCTGCGGCGGGGCCTTCTGCACCTGCACACCCACGTTGCCAGGCCTGCCGCCAGGGCCACAAGCAGGCATGGGACAGCCAGGACACTCCACACCGCCACGTTCTTCTCCTCGGGGGTACTGTCTGTGTTCTTTGTGATTTTGTCTCTGTCTCCGATGTCATTTCCTGCAAGAAAGAGGAAAATAATCCGACTTAAAGAATCTTGGGGCTGGGCATGGTGGCGCATGCCTGTAATCCCAGCACTTTGGGAGGCCGAGGTGGGTGGATCACGAGGTCAAGAGTTTGGGACCAGCCTGGCCAACATGGTGAAACTCCATCTCTACTAAAAATACAAAAATCAGCTAGGCGTGGGGGCACATGCATGTCTGTAGCCCCAGCTACTCGGGAGGCTGAGGCAGGAGAATCACTTAAACCTGGGAGACAGAGGTTACAGTGAGCTGAGATTGTGCCACTGCACTCCAGCCTGGGCAACACAGCAAGACTCCTATCTCAAAAAAAAAAAATTCTTGGAGAAAAAGGGTCTTTCTTTTTCAACCTTGAGTAGATAGTACTGCAGGGAAGTATTTCCCTGACATGATTTTGAGGTTTTAAAATAACAGGCTGATGAGAGGAGGGTTTTCTCTTGCAGAGGGGCTTCATTTCCTGGAGGGGTCTTGTTCCTCCTGTCCTACCTGGGAGAGGTAATGACCCCGACCACAGCCAGAGGACCACAGGGCTGGGTGTGGCAGGAAGCACAAGTCCTTCCTGGATTTTTTTTTTTTTTTTTTTTTTGAGACAGAGTTTTGCTCTTGTCACCCAGGCTGGAATGCAATGGCACGATCTCGGCTCAACACAACCTCCGCCTCCCGGGTTCAAGCGATTCTCCTGCCTCCACCTCCTGAGTAGCTGGGAATACAGGCGTGCGCCACCACGCCTGGCTAATTTTGTATTTTTAGTAGAGATGGGGTTTCTCCATGTTGGTCTGGCTGGTCTTGAACTGCTGACCTCAGGTGATCTGCCTGCCTCGGCCTCCCAAAGTGCTGGGATTACAGGCATGAGCTACCTCACGCTGCTGGATTTTTAAAAATCAAGGTGAAAGTCACCGAACATAAAATTAACCATTTTATTTTATTTACTTAGTTTTTGAGACAGGATCTTGCTCTGTTGCCCAGGCTGGAGTGCAGTGGTACAAACCTGACTCACTGCAGCCTCGACCTTCTGGGCTCAATTAATCCTTTCACCTCAGCCTACCAAGTAGCTGGGACTGCAGGCGGGCACCACCGGGCCTGGCTAACTTTTTTTTTTTTTTTTTTATAGAGATGAGATCTCACTATGTTGCCCTGGTTGGTCTCAGGGCTTAAGTGATCCTCTTGCCTCAGCCTCCTAAGTAGCTACAGGTGTGCATCACGTGCCCAGCCACTTTATGCTTTTTTTTTTTGAGATGGAGTCTCGCTCTCTTGCCCAGGCTGGAGTGCAGTGGTGGGATCTCGGCTCACTGCAGCCTCTGCTTCCCAGGTTCCAGTGATTCTCCTGCCTCAGCCTCCCGGGTAGCTGGGATTACAGGCACGCACCACCGTGCCCAGCTAATTTTTGTATTTTTAGTAGAGACAGGTTTTCATCATGTTGTGCAGGCTGGTCTCAAACTCCTGACCTCAGGTGATCCACCTGCCTCAGCCTCCCAAAGTGCTAGGACTACAGGCAGGAGCCACCATGCCCCGCCCAAAATGAGCCATTTTAAAGCGAACAATTCAGGGTGCCTCTGCAATCATAACCACCACCTAATTCCAGCACCCGTTTTATTACCCCCAAAAGGCAACCTCGTGGCCACGTGCAGCCTTTCCCTGTCCTCCGCTGTCCTGGGGCAGTTCATCAGGGAGCATGGTTGTGTCCAGTTCAGATGGACTGTGAGCCTGTGTGTCAGCAGCGAGAAGGGCCAGATCCAAACATGGGGGTCCCGGAATAGCCGGGACCTCTTATTTTTCTCTTAAATTTTGTTCTCATTTAGTACTTTATAGCACTCCTTCAAATTTCACGTTTAAAATGCTAGTTTGGATATGGTGGCTCATGCCTGTAATCCCAGCACTTCGGGAGGCTGAGGCAGGAGCATCACTTGTGTCCAGGAGTTTGAGACCAGCCTGGGCAACAGTGAGACCCCATTTCTACAGAGAATCAAAACTTAGCCAGGCGAGGTGGCACGTGCCTGTGGTCCCAGATACTCAGGAGGCTGAGGTAGGAGAACTGCTGTCCTCCCACACCTGGAAGCCTCTAGTTTGCTTTCTGTCTCTGCAGCTTGCCCTATTCTGGAGACGTTGTATAAATGGAGTCCCACAGGCTTGTCCTCAGGTGTCTGGCTCTGTCACTGGCATAATGGCCTTGAGGTTCTCCACGCCGCAGCGTGCGGCAGGCTGATTCTCCCTGCACACACGGCTCATGTTTGGTGCATCCGTCCATCCTCGAGGGACACTCCAGTGGTTTCCTGGTTTCCTGCCGTGAACACTCATGGGCAGGCATTTGTTTGAATCCTTGTTTTGAATCCTCTTGGCTATATCCCTAGGAGAGAACGCTGGGTCCTACAGTACTTCCATGCTTAGCTTTTCTTTTTTTTTGAGGAGTTTCACTCTGGAGTGCAGTGGTGTGATCTCGGCTCACCGCAACCTCCACCTCCCTGGTTCAAGTGATTCTCCTGCCTCAGCCTCCCGAGTAGCTGGGATGACAGGTGTGCCCCACCACACCTGGGTAATTTTGTATTTTTAGTAGAGATGGAGTTTCTCCATGTTGGCCAGGCTGGTCTTGAACTCCTCACCTCAAGTGATCCGTCTGCCTCAGCCTCCCAAAGTGCTGGGATTACAGGTGTGAGCCACCTCAGCCGGCCCACGCTTAGCTCTTCAAGGAACTGCTGTGTTGTTCTCTTGGCAGCCGTACCCTTCTGCCTTTCCACTGCCAGGCACAGAGACAGCAATGCCTCTGGGCTCTGTGTCCAGTGCCTTTGCCCCTCAGAGAGCCCCTCACAGGCAAACAAGCTGCGGCAACCCCCTAGGAGCTTGTTCTGAATGCCCGGCATGTCTCCACGCACACCTGAGAGATCACCTGGGCAATGCTCAACCCTGAACCTCTGAAGCTCTTACACTGCCCCGAGGCCTGGTGCCTGCCCCGAGCTCCAGGTCCAATGGGTCTGGGCACGGGGGCTTTCACAGGCTGCCCAGATGACCCCACTGTGTGACCAGCCTTGAGACAATGTCCCGGGAGAACCTTCTGCTACCCCTTGGGCCGCTCTGGGGGGCGTATGCGGCTGGAAGGCACTTATCAGAGGCTGCTCTGGGGGCAGCCCTCATCCTGCTGCACACAGCTCACAGACTCTGAACGTGAGTCACAGGGCCTAAGCCCCAATTTCAAGAAGGAGAACATCTGGCTCTGCAGGGGATCCTGGCGGTCAGGGTGGACTTCCAGGGTGTGCACCTCGGCAGGCTTTCAGGGTTGAGCTCAGAAACGCCGGCAGCTGGTGTGATGCCTGTAGTCACTGTCTGGAATTCTCAAAGCTTCCGAAACAAGGAGCCCTGCATTCTTCTTCTTTTTTTGAGATGAAGTCTTGCTCTGTTGCCCAGGTTGGAGTGCAATGCTGTGATCTCAGCTCACTGCAACCTCTGCCTCCCGGGTTCAAGCAGTTCTCTGCCTCAGCCTCCTAAGTTGCTGGGATGACAGGCACCCACTACCATGTCCAGCTAATTTTTGTATTTTTAGTAGAGACAGGGTTTCACCATGTTGACCAGGCTGGTCTTGAACTTCTGACCTCATGATCCACCTGCTTTGCTCTCCGAAAGTGCTGGGACTACAGGCATGAGTCACCGCACCTGGCCAAGCCCTGCATTCTTGCTTTGCATGGGGCTGCATGGTGAGTCTTGCTGGCAGCCCCTTTCCTGCAGCCAGCAGGGCCCCAGGCCCCCTCCTTGGTCATCTCCTGCCTCCTCTTTCTGCCTCTCATCCTGACACAGGAGACGGGGACACAAATGGGGCAGGCCTGTGGCCTTGACGAAGACGTCCCCGCCTGCACCCCTTCCACAGGGAGGAGCTAAGCCAGCAGCCATGCCCAGTGGGATTCCTGGGTCTGGGGGCTTCAGTCTTCCCAAGAGGCAGGGAGCTTGGGTGGGGGCTGCTTAGGGGTGGGCTTCCATCCTGGACTGCTGCTGCCTAGTCCTGTGGCTTCTGAAGTGTTTCCAGCCTCAGAGTTCAGCCCTCAGCTGTAAAGCAGGTTCAGTGAAACTGACTCTGGGCGAAGGAAACTGAGCCATGTGCACTGGCCCGGCGCCGTTCCTGTTCCCAGACACCGTGGTGGTCCTCACTGCGCGACGTGTGTCTCTCTCCTCCTCTCCCTTTCACCATCTTTCAGTGTCCTGCTGCGTCCGTCGAAGGGACTGTCTGTCTCCTGCCTCAGAGGGTCTCCCAAGCCAGCCCTGGCCCCACCGTCTTGGGCACAGGCCAGCACACAGACCCTGGGAGCTTACCTGTCTGGCTGTCCACAGTCAGGTTCTGCTGCAGAAGCGCGTTCTCTATGCAGCAGCCGATGTTCACGCTGGGGGTCGCCGCGATCCTCAGCACGCTGACCACATTGTACAAGCCCCGCGTGTTCAACACGATGGTGTCATTCTGCAGAGCCTGGTCCAGCAGGCTGCCGTCCGTCTTGTTGATCCAGTACACTCTGGGCTGGGGGTAGCCGTTCACGGACATACACGTGAAAATGAGCTCATCCTGGGAGGGGCTGTGGGGCGCGCTGACGATCGGCACGCTGAAGTTTGCTGCGGGGGAGGGAGACAGGTGGTAAGAGATGCCAGGCCCTGCCGGTCAAGAAACAGGGTACACAGTGCCAAGGCTGGGTCACTGGGGAGGCAGCCCACTGTGGCCCGACATGGCCAGGGCCGAGGCTGTGGTCTGAGCAGCCGGCTCGGCCCTGTCCCCCAAGGCAGTCCCAGTGGCCAGGGACCGCTGAGCCTGGCGGGCAGTGACTGGCACCCACAGACCCCCATTCCGTGGCTGGCGGCTGTTCCGGGACCCCCTTCTCTGGAGCTGGTTCATCTCGCTGCTGACACAGGGGCTGTCAGTCCATCTGAAATGGACACGGCTGTTCTCCCTGATGAAATGCCCAGAGCTCCTTGGTTGCCTCTAATTTTTCTCTTAAATTTGGTTCTCATTTAGTGCACTTCTTTCACATTTCACTGTTAAAACTCTAGTTTGGGCGTGGTGGCTCATGTCTGTGATCCCAGCAATTTGGGAGGGTAAGGCAGGAGGATCACTTGTGTCCAGGAGTTTGAGACCAGCCTGGGCAACATAGTGAGATCCCATTTCTACAAATAATCAAAAATTAGCCGAGCGTGGTGGCAGGTGCCTGTAGTCCCAAATACTCAGGAGGCTGAGGCAGGAGAACTGCTTGAGCTCAGGAGGTCGAGGCTGCAGCATGACCCTACTACTGCGCTCCAGCTTGGCCAACAGTGAGACCCTGTCGCAAAAAACAAACTCAAAAAAGGCAAAGACAGCAAGGCTAGGAGCTCTTCTGGGAAACCAAGCAGCCCAAGTCATGCATTAAGGATTTTTCAGCTGTTTAGTTTCCCTTGATGTTAGATAGAGGCCTGATAACACAGCTGAGAATTTTCTTCACTGAAAGAAACAGTGAATGAGCCAGGGAGGGGGTTTCAATTTTGTGAATACTCTTCCACGATGGGAGGCTGGGATGGACCCAGCTCTTTCTGCCTCAACGGTCCTACCTGCCACATGCAGTGTGACCACAACTTCCAAGACCGTCTGGAATCCCAGGGATTTACTCAGCACCACGCAGCGAAACTTCTGCTCGTCGTCGGGGGTGACATTGAACAAGCGCAGGGAGAAGTCGCCCTGCAGCATCCCGGCCGGTGACATCGCCGCCCGGTTCCTGTAGCGGCTGGCCACGGAGGAGGAGCTGTTCTGCGGGACGTGGTAAGCCACCACCGTGTCACTGATTTGCCAGTACACGTAAATGTCATTTAAATCGAAACGGCTTCCTTCGGGGGAAGCGCAGCTGAGCTCCACATCGCTGCCTACCATCGCCCTTACTTCTTTCTCCTGAGTATCTGCAACGACCCAAAAGGCAAAAATCTGTTTTCTGAGGCCGACGCCCAGGCCATGAAGCTACTGTCTGGGGCAGGCTTTGCGTTTCGAGCCTCAAATGCCAACTGTGGCTTAGAATTCATTAACAAGGCACGTGCAGGAATGCAGTGAAACTTGAAAAGCGTGGGTATTTCAGGTGAAGTCCAATGTCAATCTTTGGCTTTGATGACGCACTCCCGTTGAGTAAGGGGCTGGGCTGCCCGGGGAGGAGCAGCTGGATGGGCTCAGCATTGTTTTTGTTACTCAGAACTATTTTTACTACTTTTTGGGAGTCTATAATTGATGCAGATTAAAACATTCTTTAAAAATCAGGCATTTAAGGGAAAACAATTTCTCAAGAATTACATTATAATGCTGCTCCCTTCCATCAGGAAAGTTCTCATAAATGTAACAGACACAGGGCGGCTTTACCGTTTGCACAACCACATAAACGCCTGTGGGAAAATCTGTGTGCGTTGCCTGCCTCCAAAGCACTCTAGGCTGGAAGGCTTGGCAAGGCTTTGGGTCTGTGCTGTGGCGCCTCGCCCCTATTCCTGGCTCTTCTAGAGGCTGGTGGCTCTTAGGGCTCAGCAGGGCTGCTGCCCGGGACAGGGAGACCAGGGGACCCAGGAAGCCCTGGCTCAGAGGAACTGCATTCTGCCTGCAACAAACACAAAATCAAACAAGAACTCCAGAGTTTGCAGAAGTGTTTCCCTTTAAGGAAATGCGTCCATCTTGTGCAGCAACCTAGGTTAGGTACCAACTTTCTCCAAAGGGCCACTTGAGAAGCCAAAAGGAGCCTGGTGAGGCTGCTCCTGGTACCCTGCGGCCGGCAGTCCACATAGCCAGACGGCCCATCTCAGAGCTGGGTGCCCACACTGCTGGCAAAGCACCCCCTGAACTTACCGGCTCGAAGGCTGCTGAGGAGCAGGAAGAGCAGTCCAGGACTGAAAAAAACAACCGGAAACGCAGGTGAGGTGGGGCCGCAGGTGAGTTACCTGCATCTTCCAAATGGGAGCAGGCTGGTTTCCCAGGCAAGAGGCAGTTCTGTCCTTCACAGAAATGTGAAGATAGGAGACTGCCTGCATCTGTTCTCCACAGGAATTCGGGGTCTGGAGCCGGGACCACCACCCCCTGCCCAGCACCGCAAGTCCGAGGGGCTGGTAGCCTCTTGCCACTCTCTAGCTCTGGTGGTGACAAATTCCCAGAAACACTGTGATGCCAATGTGAGGATGAAGGAGAGCAAGGGATACCCCTGAGGCTGGTCTAGCCTTCCTGGGGACAAATTCCAAGAAATTGTAGGAAATCAGAGATAAAAAAGCTTTCAGGGCACATATAACAGGGGCTTCACTTAAAATGCTGGGGAGACGGAGAACATCAGGCGTGCCCATGACAGGGTGGGTCAGGTGAGTGACGGGGCAGCCCTGTGGGTAACGCAGATCATTTTGAAACAAAACCTGGGCTCCTCCTGTTTCAGATCCTGCTACAGCTGGTGCCCTGCCTCAGGCAGCAAATCCCACTCATGACTCCAGTGCTCCTGCCATCTTGCGTCGGGGAGCCTTGGCACCCTGCATGCTTCAGGCTCTCCACCTTCTCCCACCAGCCCCAGGATGCCTTCCCCAGGTGGAGGCCCTTCATGGCTTGCCCCAGTCCCCCAAACCATCAGTTTACGGGCCAAGCTCCCCACAGAGTGGGAGCCCCCGGAGCAGGGACACCTCCTTCTCTGATGTTGCTGTACTTCCAAGATCTGGGAGACATTCATCCCTCTTCTGTCTGGCCTCTGCCTCGGAAACCTTGGGGGCTTCCTAAGTGAAAGTCTGGTCTCGTGGGAACCTCCCAGTGGCCTGCCCCTGAGCTCTGGAGCCACAGAAACCCTGGCCCCACCCACGGTGGCCATCACCTGAGTCTGCATGGAGGCGTGCCTGTGCCAAGTGAACACACATGCACCAAAGTGAGCCCCAGGCCACCAGGGACTCTTGAAGCCCGCAGGCAGCCCTTCCTCTCTCCCATTCCCTGTTGGGGTTGCCATTCTGGCTGCAAGATGGTTGTGATGGCCTCCAGCAGGTCCCCTGCCTCCACCCAGGCCTCCTTGCCTCCAGCCTCAGCCCCTTCAGGTATCTCCCCAGGGCCACCTTCTAAACCACAGCTGTGAGAACCCCTCTGTGCCCCCATTTCTCTCCCACAGTGCCCAGCTCATAAGCCCCATTCTGTCTTTGGAGGCCTCCTCAGGACATTGGGGGGCTTTCTGGGCCGGAGGAGCTGCTCCAAGCTCTTTCTGGCTTATCCGGTCCCTGGGTGCTGCCCACCCAGCGGCACCTGTGTCCTCTCCTTGGGCCCTCAGCACCCCTTCCTCTCAACCCTGAGTTTGCCTCAAGACCCAGCACATTCAGGGTCACCTGTTTGAAGGTGCGAGTGGTGGAGAGCTAAGACATGGGAGGGCTGTGACAGTCACAGACTTTTAAGTGCTTTCTCTCTAGGGCAGGATCATAGTTGCATATATTTCTAATGAAGAGGGGTACTGAGCAGTGTGACCCAGGTGTGGGCCAGTTCTGGGCTATGTGGGAGGCACCCCTAGGGTCAGGGGCCTCACCGGTTCACCCAGGGGAGCACGGGCTGTGAACCCTAGGACCTGGTTGCTAAGAGCATATTTTCACAAAAAACCAGGAGGAAGCTGTCACTCCCGGTTTAGACAGCTCCACCTTCCCCAGTGCGGACCAGCTGCCTGGCTGCGGGGAATCCCACGTGTGTGGGGGAGGGCGTGTCGCCAGACCGTGAGCATCCGGCTGGCCTTAGAGAAAGCCAGGCCAGTCGCCTCCCTCCTTCACCCATCTCCTGGGAAATCAGTGGTGCCAGGGAGTGGAAGGGGCAGCGCCGGTACCCGGGCGTGCGAGGTGCACCCCCTTCCCTCCCTCCTTCCAGCGTTCGCAGTCCCCTTTCCCTAGCAGGGACCCCGCCACCGGTCCGCCCCCGCACGGCTGCGCGTCCTCCCGTGGGTCCCGGTGGCGGCCTCCGCAGCCCGCTGCTGTTCACGCCCCGCCGGCTGTCCCGGTGCCCCCATCGCCCGCTCTCCGGGTGCGCACTGCCCGCCCGGCGCCTCCAAGCGAGCTTCGCAGGCCCCACGTCAGGGCCGAGCTGGGGACGCGCGGACCGAGCCACCCCGCCCTTGATCGCGGCGCCGCGGCTCCTTCCCAGTCTCACCTGCTCAGGCGCATGGCGCTGGCGGAGATCTCGGGCCGCTGGAGACCTCGGGCCACGGAGAACCTGGGCCGCGGGAGGCCTCGGGGAGCGGCAACCTCGGGGCGCGGGAGATCGGATCTAACTGCCCTCCCGCTGCGCCCTAGCTCTGAGCGCCCAGCGCGCGGCGGGCGGGAGGCAGTCGTGTCCCCGCCCCGTCCCTGCCCCGCCCCCGGCCAGTCCCTGCCCCCGACCTGACTCCTCTTGCTACCGAGGCCGCGCCGGGACGCGGCGCGCGGGGCGCGGGGCGCGGAGGCTCCAGAAAGTTCAGCTCTGCCCAGGCGAGTGTGCCCGTCGGCCGGAGACGGGACAGAGGCAGGTCGAGCAGTCCGCCTGCACGCGGACCTGGAGGCCTTGGGTGCCCCGGGAAGCGCAGGGGTGGGAGGTGCCCGGGAGTAAGGTGGCTAGGGGTGCTGCGGGGCCCGCTCCGCCCGGAGGATCTCCAGGACTTGGGCTAGTGAACTCAGCTACTGCTGAGGAATGAATGATTGACGGAATGAATGATTGAATGAATGAATGCATGAATGGAAGGAGGGAGGGAAGGTAGGCGGGCTCTACTCTCTGGGCCAGCCCCAGCCCACCCCCACCTGGCCTGGCACCCTCAGCGGTCTAGAGGAACGGAGGGCGCTGGCTCAGCCTGTTTGCCTAACACTGGACTGAGGAGCCGCCGCCGGGAAACCAAGGCAGCCTGCGGCTCCGGCTCTGAGCTCGTCAGCCTTGGCAGTGGCGTCTGGCTCGGAGTCTGGGGCAGCGGGTCTGGGAAAGGCCGCGCCACGCAACCGAGGGTTGGACCCAGGGCCCCTGCTCCCCGCCCCCAACGGCCCCCAGCCCACGCTCTCTCTCCCTGATCCCCACAAGCCAGGTGACCCAAAGAGGCCGTGATTTCTGGTGGGGCCCCTCCCTGGCTTAGGGGTCTCGGTTGGGGTAAGGTGGGGCCCAGAGGGGACGTGACCCCCTTTCTGCAGAAGCGCCCCCAGAAGGGCCTGACTGAGGCTGCTGGACAGGGCAGCAGGGCACCCTCCTCCCGGCGCCCCAGTCTCTGGTCTGCTCCGACCCCCACCACCTCAGGGGCTCGGAGGAGGCCAGAGGCGCCGGGAGGCGGGGGCCCCAGACGGCACCCCGCAGGCTGTCATTCCTTCAGCCAAGAGGTAGAGAACGCTGTGGACAAAAGCTTAAAAAATACGGAAACCTCTCCCCGCGGAAAGCTAGTTTTTTGCGGAGCAGAGAGGCCAGGCACAAAACAAGAAGGCGGAAGAGATGGGCGGCGGGGCTCGGCGGGGGCGCCGGGGGCGGCGGGGGCGCCGGGGGCGGGCGAGCAGGAAGCACTGAAGCCCGGCGACTTCCCCCTTCCCGGCCAGGCTGAGAGATGGGGGTTGGAGGGTCTAAATGAGAGATGGTTGGTCAGGGGGCGCCTGCCCTCCGGCGGGAAGAGTTGAACAGGGCCCGCGGCGCGCAGGGCGTCAGCACACCAGTGAGGTCCGGCGCGCAACCCCGTCTGAGCGGGACTGTCTAGGGCGCGTCCCGTCCCTTGAGCCAGAAAACCCCTTTCAGCGCCAGCGTGGACGTGCGCTTCCCGGGACACGCTCAGGGGCACCGACTTGGACCCGCGAGGCTGGAGGGGTCGCGATGCTGGGGACCGAGGTTCCTCTCTTCGGGGCAAGTGGCTGCAGGGAGGGGACCGCGTCGCGCGGCAGGTGAGGAGGGCGCAGGTGCGCCGATCGGGCTGTGGGCCGCGCCACCTCCTTCCGGAGGCCCTCCCTAATTGACGGGCGGGGCTCCGCGCGCCTCTGCGCCTGCGGCTGAGGTCCCGGGCCACGCCGCCACCATTGGCGGAGCGCTCCACCCCCGGGCTCACCTGAATCCCCTCCACACTGCGGGGAGGGGGACGGCCCCTGGATACCGCGAGGGGATTGTGGGAGGATGGGGACTGGGTCCTGGGGGAGCAGAGCCTCCCAAATTAAGGTCTCCCAAGAGCGGGGCCACTCATCTGCGGCGGCGCCCCCAGTGCCGCCCAGGGGCGGTGGGAGAGGGGCCGAGGGGGCAGGTCCGGGCTCTGCTTCCCGGGCAGACGCCAGAGACTCCAGCCAAGTGCTGCAGGCAGGTCCTCCCGAGAGAGGGGATGAGGCGTGAAGGGCACAGCCAGGCAGGGGCCAGGAATGCAGCTGGGTCAGAAGGGGACACTGAGGGAGGCCGGGGCGGCCCAGGAACCTCAGAGACAACGGTAAGCGGCGGCTGGTTCACACCCTCTTCTGCTCCGAGCTGTGTGACCACAGCAGGTCAGCAGGTTCCTTCCTCCTGGGGCCTGCGTCCCGGTCCGTGACATATACACGAATGTGGGTTGTTGTAAGTGATCACGCAGCACACTGGCACATGGTTACCACACGCAGAGGGTTTCAGATGAAGAAACATAAAACCCCTTGGGAAGTCTCCCGTAGTCAAAGGAAGGTTTTAGTGTCCCGCCACCCGTGACTGTTTCTGGGGCAGGCAGGATGCGCTTTTGTTCTAGGAGTGTGGAGAGAAGGCCCTTTGGCAGTGTCCAGGGCGCACTGGGAGCCAAGCAGGAATTGTATTTGTGCAGCCTGGGGTTCAAGACTCTCTGGGTGTAAGTCATAGAAGCAGGAAGCGGCTGCCCTCTGCCCCTGGCCCCAGGGCACCCTGCTCTGCCGTTTGGAGGGTGTGGGAGTCTTCTGATCTCTGCCGCGGTGCGCCTCCAGGCCCCGGTCCCTTTGGGGTCTAGCACAACAACCCGCGTTTGACAGCACGGGCCTTGGCTGATGCTGGGAGCTCAACTCCTGGCCAAGGAAGATCTTTGCTCTTAGGGGATGCAGCATATGTTGTTTAACGAAAAGGATTCGTTCCTTCTGAGAAATGCGTCCTCGGGTGATTCTGTCCTTGTGTGAACATCATGGAATGCATGCACACCGACCGAGCCTGGTGGCACAGCCCACTACGCTGGGGCCGCGTGTCACGCCTGCTGCTCCTGGACCACAAGCCTGTGCAGCAGGTGACTGCACTGAATAGTGTAGGCAGCTGCGACTCACTGATATTTGTGTATCTAAACCCATCTAAACATAGAACAGGTGCAGTAAAAATACCGAATTGTGACCTTATGGGAGCACCGTCGCATCGTGTGTTGGCAACGTTATGTGGTGCACGACTGTAGGTTTGTTTCCTGTCTGCTCTGGAACTAATGACCACACGCTTGCTGGCTCAAAAACAACACAAAGCCTCTCTGGGCCCTGGAGGGCAGCAGCCCAAGGTCTGCCCGGTGGAGGTGCTAGGGGAGTGTCCCCTGCACCTCTCCTAGCTCCCAATGGCCTTGGGCGTCCCTGCCTTGTGTCTGTGGCACTCCTGCCTCTCCCTCGGTGGCCACGTGGCTCCTCTGTGTGGTCGAGCCTCACTTTGCCCCTCTCTTCAGAGTCCCTTTGGGGTAGAACCCACCTGGGTGACCTAGGGAGGCCTCCCACCCCAATTTAATCCAGCCAGCAAAGTTATTCCTTTGCCATATAGCATTCACAGGATCCGGGAATGGGGACCTGGGCATCTTTTGGGGGGTCGCTGTTCAGCTGAGCACGGGACCATGAGGCCGGTCCTATGTGTAAAACTAAAATACTTAGAGGGCTGGGCACAGCGGCTCACACCTGTAATCCCAACACTTAGGGAGGCCAAGGTGGGAGGATCACTTGAGCCCAGGATTTTGAGACCAGCCTGGGCAACAGAGCAAGACCCCATCTCTATAAATTTTAAAAAATGAGCCAGGCATGGTGGCATGCACCTGTGGTCCCAGCTACTCCAGAGGCTGAGGCTGGAGGACCACTGGAGCTCAGGAGTTGCAGGCTGCAGTACCTGTGGTTGTGCCACTGCAGTCCAGCCTGGGAGACGAGCTAGACCTTATCTCAAAAAATAAAGCCTTGAAATAAAATACATAGAGCATCTCAAGCTGGTGTGGACAGTTCTGAGGGTTGGGGAGAGAACAAACGAAGCAAAGTGCATTTTGAGGGGCAGAAAGCCCCTCGGCGCCCTGTGCCTTGCTTTAAAGCAGCACAACGGAAAGTGAGCATGAGTTGTGTTGGGCCCGGGACACTGGTTCCCTGTGTGGAGGCAGCCTGGGCCCAGCCCGCCCTGCTCAGAGCTCTCACCACTGGCCTGGCCTGTGGGCTCATGATAGCCTCAGCCCCCTTTGAGTGACAGCTTGAGCACAGCCTCCCCAGAGGGCTCATTTGCCCTTGCATGGCCTCACCTGCGCTCCCCTGTTTTCTGTGGCATCAGGAACCCCGGGTCATTATGGAGCTCGCTGCATTCATCCCTGGATGTGAGACCCGTGTTGTCAGAGTCCAGGACTGTCCAAACAGGTTCCAGCCATGTCAGTTCAAGTGAAGATGTCGACTCTACTTCAAGACGTATATTTTTAATCTTCAAAAGGTCCAATTTTAACCTTTCTTCTACAAGCATTTTACGTACCACTAATAGTCCCAGTGTAGACCCCAGAGGTCCCCTGCAGGATTCATTTCATGTGATTTGAGCCCAGCCTGAGGCAGAGCTTTCTGGTGGGCTGATCCTCGCTCAAACTCAAACTGCAGCGGGCCAGGAAGAGCCCTGCTTTCTGCAAGCAACACTACCCGGAGTACGGCCCAGGTGACACCCTTTGTGCGTGGACCTGTTCTTGGTCTCTGCAGCGTCGCCAGCAGGTCCCTCCTTTGCCCTCCAAGGCTGAGGTCCTGTACTTTCCAGGTTGTGTAATGCAGCTATGATCAGGGTGCATGGTTTTCCCTATGAAAGCAAACAGTGGCCGGGCATGGTGGCTCATGCCTGTAATCCCAGCACTTTGGGAGGCTGACACAAGTGGATCACTTGAGATCACGAGTTCAAGACCAGCCTGGCCAACACGGTGAAACCCCATCTCTACTGAAAATACAAAGATTAGCTGGGCGTGGTGGCACACACCTGTAATCCCAGCTAGTCAGGAGGCTGAGGCAGGAGAATCGCTTGAACCTGGTAGGCAGAGGTTGCAGGGAGCCGAGATTACACCACTGCACTCCAGCCTGGGTGGCAGAGCGAGACTCCATCTGAAAACAAAAAAAGAAAGAAAAAAAAAAAACAAGAAAGCAAACAGCGGTCTCGGTCTCGTGGGGAAGCCTCCGCCAATAAGTGCATCCCACG